CCCATGACCGACCAAAAAAAAAAATACTCCATTATATGTGTGTGCACACAGGTACACTGTGTATGAACATATGTTTGTATACATGTATACACATACGTGCTAGGATAGACATGACATGTTGATTCCTTCTTTTGGCTGTTTGAATAGTGCTGCTGGAATGAAAATGGGAGTAGAGATGTTTCTTGAACATGCTCTCTTCATTTCCTTTATATGCATGCCCTAAGTGAGATTGGTGAGTTCATATGTTTTTCTTTTTCTTTTTTGAGAAACCTCCTTACTCTTCTTCATTACAATTTACATTCCTATCAAAAGTATACACATCCTTACCAGCACTTAACTTTTATTTTTATTTTTATTTATTTATTTTTTTTGGTCGGTTGTGGGGCCTGAACTCTGGGCCTGGGCACTGTCCCTCAGCTCTTCAGCTCAAGGCTAGCGCCCTACCACTTGAGCCACAGCGCCACTTCCGGCTTTTTTCTGCTTATGTGGTGCTGAGGAATTGAACCCAGGGCCTCATGCATGCAAGGCAAGCACTCTACCACTGAGCCAACTTCCCAGCCCCCCTTTTATTGTTTTTATGATGGCTATTCTGGCAAGTGTAAGTAAGATCTCATTGTGGTTTTGATTTGTACTTCCTTTATTAGTAGTATATTTTATGTCTTTAGGCACTTCCTGTTTTTAAATTTATTGCATAAGTGTAATTGTAAAAAAAAAAACCCAACACAACAGTAAAATTCCTACCACCAGCATTAATACTCAACTATTCTCAATACTATGTTTCTTTTTCAATTATATGTTCTTTTCTGAGGACTGGAAGAAGAGGGGGGGATGGTGGGGAGGGAGGGAGGGAGGGAAAGAGGGAAGAAGGGAGAGGGAGGGGGAGAGGGAGAGGGAGAAAGTGGAGTGAGGGAGAAAAGAGGGAGAAGGAGAGAGAGATAGATAATGTAGTTGATACGCTTTTCTATTTGAGTTCTCCCATCCCAATCTAATAAATGACTGGAGAGAGAGAGAGTGAAGAAGTACATGGAAAGGAAGAAGGAAGGAAGAGAATCCTTAATTTAGTGATAGACCCACAAGTTTTCCTGTTGGACCGTAGTTATGATGAAATTCTGTTATCTCCTAGGTTTTATTGTGGCCTTTGCCAAGATGACTTCATTCTAAAGAATTGGCATTAAGAAAATGTTTTATTGTTTAATGGTCTTCATCTTCATTTTGTAAGAATAATTACATCCTTTCTCCATTGAGTAATTTAATATGATGCAACTAAAGCATCTAAATGCCCAAATGTTGTAAACATCTATAGTATTCATTGTCTCTAGAGCTTAATTTGAAAAAGCAAATTTAATAACCACAGTTTCTACATGTTAATAATGACAGTTTAGTCCTTATTATGCCAAAATTTCCAAAGGACTGAGTGGTAGATGTGTAGCAGGGGGTATCTTTGCTCCTCCTCATAGCTCAGTGTCAGATTTTTGGATTAATAGCTGCTTCTGGCTCCCAACAGACTTTACAGTGGGTTTGGTGCAACTAAACCAGGCTAGGTTGTGAATCCTAGTGTTACCTTTTGGTGAATTAAGTATCAGAAAAAGATAATTAATCCTTAACTTCCTGGCTAGTACACAAAATGATGTTACTAGAAATTTAGGGCATCTAAGTTAACTTCAGTCCTTGCCTTTGGCAAGAGAATTCCAACAAGATGTGAACATAGTAAAGGTGATAAGAAAGTTTATTAGAGAAGAAATATGGCAGAGAAAGAGAGTATATAGCATAGACGTCTATGCCACAGGAAGACAGACCTTTCGCCCCACCTCAGCCAACTTGCACCATCTTCCTTGTTGCAGAGATTGGTCTTGGGTTAAATAGGGAGGATATAAATCCTTGAAGAAGGCTTTCTGATCTGTAGGTCTCCTTTCTATTTCCCTGTAAGTCCTTGACGCCAAAGATGTAAAGCCCCACTGGGTGCCAGTGGCTCCCACCCTAATCCTAGCTACTCAGGAAGCTTAGCTACTAATCCAGTGCCAGCCTGGGCAGGAAAGTCCACGAGACTCTTATCTCATTTAACCACCAGAAAACTGGAAGTAGCACTGTGGCTCAAAATGATAGAGTGATAGCCTTGAATGAAAAAGCTCAGGGACAGTGCCCAAGTCCTGAATTCAAGCCCCACGACTGACAAAAAAAAAAAAAAAAAGAAGAAAAGAAAAAAGAAAAGAAAAAAAGGGATAAAAGAGATTTAGAGCCTCATCTTTATTTCATCATTCTTTTGTCCTTCCTACTTTATCGTTCTTCTTTTCTTCTGCTGCTGCTGTTCATGGGGCCTGAACTCAGGGCTACTGTCCATGAACTTCTTTTGCTCAAGGCAGCGTTCTAACATTTGAGCCACTTCTGGCTTTTTCTGAGTAGTTTATTGGAGATAAGAATGTCATGAGGTCTGGGAAGGTGGCTCAGTGGTAGAGTGTTTCCCTTGCGTGCATGAGGCCCTGGGTTTGATTCCTCAATACATAAATAGTAAAAGCCGGAAGTAGCTTGATAGCTATAGCCTTGAACTGAAGAGCTCAGGGACAGCACCCAGGCCCAGAATTCAAGATCCAAAACTGACCAAGGGAAAAAAAAAAAGAATGTCATAAATTTTCATGTCCTGGCTAGCTTCGAATCAGCCTCCTTTTTTTTTTTTTTTTTTTCCATTTCAGCCTCCTTTAGTAGCTAGGATTACAGAGGTTAGCTACTGATGCCTGGCTTCTTCATTCTTTTGTAGCCCCCTGCCCCTGTTTTGTTGTCAGGCAGGTTTTAGTTTATAAGCTTATCCTGCCATCTGCAAGTTGTATAGGCACAGTTCCCCGATTGCCTGCCTTTCTACTGACTCCTGCCATTAGCACCAGGCTGCTTCAGTCTCAGTATCCATCCTCCTACACCCCTTTTCTATACTGTAGAGAGCTACAACTAGGTAACTACTTCTAGGATCCTTTATTATCAGAGAGTCCTCCCACCAACCCTATATTGCTGCAATCAGTCAGCCTTGACTCTTCCAGAGGTTTTTGTGTTTGTGAAATAAGTCCAGAGTTTTCCTTTTCCCATAATCTTCAGAGTGGGCTTCAGTGTTGGAACATAAGGGAGACGGGTGTCTGGTTTTTTTCCCCCTTACACCTTATATTTGCTGTTATAAGTAATCTAAATTCTGTTTCATTTCCTTGTCATTTAAATCATTATAACCTTTACAATTGATGCATAGTTATCTGTACTCATTCTTTTTTTCTCATAATACAAATGAATACATCATTTCTATCGATGTTAAAAGTGATACATCATTGGATCTGATCTGTTTCTCTTCAGTATGATTCTTGTCTTCTGATTTCTTGTTGTTGTTATTCTTGTGATGTTTGGGATCAAACTCAAGGCATTGCAAACAAACACTAGGCAAGCACTTTACCCAAAGCTACATCCTTAACCTTCCAATTTCATTTTGTGGCTGTTGTTGGTACTGGGATTTGAACTCAAGGCTTCATGCCTTCTTAGCAAGCATTCTACAGCTTGAACTCTATCCCTACCCACCCCACATATTCTTTTTGCTTTAGTTTCCTCTTGAGGTATTATGCTTTTGGTAGCCTCGGATTTCAATCCTCCAACTTCCACCTCCTGAGTAGATAGATGGTTGGTGTGTGACACCATACCCTCTTCTGCTTTCTCAAAGTTATATTCCTAGTCAAAACATATTAACAATGTTTTCTATAAGTTTTTATAGAGAAATGCATATTTCTCTATAAAACATATTTTGTCAAAAGGCTGTTCTTCAGTTGCCAACATTATCAGTGCAGATGCATTAAATTGTAAGTTCAGAAAACTCAGTTCAGGATGACTACAGAAAGTATATGTAAAAAAAAAAAAAAAGAAAGTATATGTATTGGCAACAGTCCATCCTCTAAATTGTTTTGCTTTCACAACTCAGTGATGTCATTAAGAATTTGGTTTTCTGGTGGGGGGGGGGGAGGATGGGAAGGGATGGGAAGGGGAAACAAAGGAGGAGGCTACAATGCTTGATAAGAAATGTACTCATTATCTTGCCCATGTAATTGTAACCCTCTGTACAGTATTTTTACAATAAAAAAAAATTTGGTTTTCTTGCCAGGCACCAGTGGCTCACACCTGTAATCCTAGCTACTCGGGAGGCTAAGATCTGAGGATCATGGTTCAAAGCCAGCCTGGGCAAGGAAAGTCTGTGAGACTCTGATCTCCAATAAACCACTAGAAAACCGAAGTGGTGCTGTGGCTCAAGAGGTAGAGCACTCATCTTGAGCTGAAGAGTGCAGAGACAGCGCCCAAGCCCAGAGTTCAAGCCCCACGACCGACCAAAAAAAAAAAAAGAATTTGGTTTTCTTTATACTCTTTTTGGGGGGTGGGGGACCGGTTGTGGGGCTTGAACTCTGGGCTTGGGCGCTGTCCCTCAGCTCTTCAGCTCAAGGCTAGTGCTCTACCACTTGAGCCACAGCGCCACTTCTGGCTTTTTTCCCAGGGCCTCATGCATGCAAGGCAAGCGCTCTACCACTGAGACACCTTCCCAGCCCCTCTTTATACTCTTCTGTCTTGAGTCTTACCTTTCTTTTATGAGGGAGAGGTGGATGCCCTTTTACTTTATTGATTGATTGATTGATTGTGGTACTGACATTTAAACTCAGGGCCCAAGTGAAGCATTCTACCACTTGAGTCTTACCTCCAACTAATGTCCATTGATCTTAATTGAGGTGTGTGCCTCTGCCTTGAACCAGCAGTTGTAGCTGAGATTTGTTCTTGGAAGCTCAGACTAGGAGTCAGCTTTTCCTCACCTGCAGGGCTGTGGGAGGAGGCACAAAAACCCGTGGGTACTGGGTTGGCTATCCAGAGGAGGAGGAAATGGATGAAGGGTGACAGCCCCTATCCTCATGCCATGTGTTTTGAAGTCATTTGGTTTTCATTATATAAGTGCTTGCTCTTTTTTTTTTCTTCATTTTTTTTTCTTTTTCTGTCTTTAGGGGCTGTTCCAACAACCAAACGGACAGGCATTCCAGCTCCACGGGACCTCTCAGTAGCTATCTCAAGAGAGAGATCTGTGCCACGTGGTTCCTCCAATCCTAAGAAATCAGGGTCCAGTCCAACTTCCTCCTGCACGCCCACTCCTACCAAGCACCTGAGGAACACTTCTGCAAAACCCAAGCAAGACCATGAAGGTGGAGAGAAGGCTGTGCTCGAGTCCCAGGTTCGGGAACTTCTGGCAGAAGCCAAAGCCAAAGACAGTGAAATCAACAGACTTCGAAGTGAACTAAAGAAATGCAAAGAGAGAAGGGCTTTGAGCACTGAGGGGACTGATGCTTCAGACCCAAGTGCAGATGGAACAATTGCTCCACCAGGTGACATAGAACCTTTGGTAAGAGCCCTTGAGGAGAAGAATAAGACCTTTCAAAAAGAGCTTGCTGACCTAGAGGAAGAAAACCGGGCCTTGAAGGAGAAACTGACTTACCTTGAGCAGTCACCAAATTCAGAAGGAACAGCAAGTCACATTGGTGACAGCAGCTGCCCAACATCCACAACTCAAGAGTCAAGCTTTGGAAGCCCAACTGGAAATGAGCTGTCAAGTGAGACTGATGAGTACAAAAGAAACACACATGGGAATGCATTGAAGACATCGGGTTCTTCAAGCAGTGATGTTACCAAAGCTTCATTGTCACCAGATGCCTCTGATTTTGAGCACATCACTGCGGATACCCCATCTCGGCCCCTGTCTTCCACTAGCAACCCTTTTAAGAACTCAAAGTGTTCCCCTGTGGGGAGCTCCCCAAACAACACAAGCGAGCTGTCCCTGGCTTCTCTTACAGAGAAAATACAAAAGATGGAAGAGAATCAGCACAGCACCACAGAAGAGCTGCAGGCTACTCTGCAAGAATTATCAGACCAGCAGCAAATGGTCCAGGAACTGACAGCTGAGAATGAGAAGCTGGTGGATGAGAAGACAATTTTAGAGACATCCTTCCACCAGCATCGAGAGAGGGCAGAACAGCTAAGTCAAGAAAATGAGAAACTCATCAATCTTTTACAAGAGCGAGTAAAGATTGAAGAGCCCAGCACCCAGGGAGGAAAAATCCTTGAACTAGAGCAGAAGTGCACAGATATTCTTGAGAATAGTCGCTTTGAAAGAGAGAAGCTGCTCAACATTCAGCAGCAGCTTACCTGTAGCTTACGGAAGGTTGAAGAAGAAAACCAAGGAGCTTTAGATAGGATTAAACACCTGAAGGAAGAAAATGACAAACTAAATGGGTTTCTGGAACGAGAAAGGTGTAACAATAGTGTGATGGCCAAAACTTTGGAAGAATGTAGAGTTACCTTGGAAGGCTTGAAGATGGAGAATGGGTCCTTGAAGGCTCATTTGGAGAGTGATAAGCGAAAGGCTACAGAAACCAGTAGTATCGAAGGCCAGACTACAGAGAACTGCGAAGTTCAGGAGATGTTGAAAGCAGCAAGAGCTGAGAAGGATCAACTAGAACTGTCTTGTACTGAGCTCAGACAAGAATTGCTAAAGGCAAATGGTGAAATTAAACATGTCTCAAGCCTGCTAGCCAAGGTAAGAAGAGAGATGTCTTTACAGGCATCTGTGAGTCCTTGTTAGCATTTCTCTTTGTTAGCATTATCTTTGTTATAAAACAAAGATAATCATTTGTTGAGTCAATTTTCCCCTTAAATCTTGCATTCTAGCTCAAAAAAGACCTATTGGATTTCAGAGAAGCATTGGGAATTCACAAGTGAAATATCCCAAATTTCTGACTACAGGCATTCAAGATTGAGTGGGAATGTAATAAACAGTATCAGTGATGTAGTAATAAAGAATATCCTATTCTAGAGAGTATGGCTAAGGCTAGCACATTTACCTAGCATGCATAAGGCCTTGGGTTTGATTTCCAACACCACAAAAACAATAAGATAAAATAAATTTAGAACCATCATGTCTGTACATATTATTAAATTTTTTGAGCCTATTCTTATCATCAAATACTCTTTTAAACATTGTTTTAAAGCCAGATACTTATTTTATATTCACCAGTTCCCTGTTGTTGAACATATGTGCATTACTAGATGTTTATGTTCTCTCTGGTCTTTCAATACTGTAAATACATTTTTGATATCTCTCTGATTATTTCTTTAGGAAAAATTCCTAGACGTTGACTTAGTGAGTCAAGGAGTATAAACATTTTTAAAGACTTTAACACATCCAGCCAGATTACCCTCCAAGAAAGATTATGCCAAGTTGTTCTCAACCAGCAGTTCATGAGAATACTTGTTTCCCTGAGCTCTTGCCAACTCTTGCTATTAAATTATGTCATCAAATCTGTTAATCATTTCCTTTAATTTTTTTTCTTTTTAGCTTGGAGCCCAAATAAATAATCACTTCTTTCATTTTTAATAACCCTTTGATTGGTCTGGAATTTTATTATTTGATGCAAGATTGGAAGTGATTATATGATATTTTGCCCACCTCACAGAGTAGTGCTGAGAAAGATTCAGAAGATGGATTCCTATTCTGTGTTCTCCATGTTCTGAGTTTGTGGTTTGGAGATAGGTTAAAAACCTCTTTCCCCTTTATTTTGGGGTCATCAGTATTTCAAAACATAGTTTTATATCATGAGCTTCCAAGGACAAAACTTTTCTCTACTGCTCCTTCTGTTTTAGGATTAGTCAGTTGTGCCCTGCATTTGGCTGATGGTCTTAGTAGTAGGTTATGTTAGGAACTTTTATTGTCTATGTTCTAAATTCAAAGATATTTTATTGAAGATAATTGAAGCAATTTTATTAGAGATTACTAGCCAGGAACTTGTTCAAATTGTAGATTGATAAATTAAACTTTTCATTTAGTAACTTTGCAAAAAAAGACTGCTTTTTTTTTCTTAAATAATACTCATTGTCATGTTACAAAGTGTTCAGTTTCCTAGGTGGACCTTCACAAAAGTCTCCTCTCAGTTCCTCATCTAGCTCTTTGGTACTGTGATTGGCATTATATTAAATACAGGTGTCAATATTTGGCCCATTAAAATAATTTGAGGCTGAAGATGGCTTAAGTGGTAGAGCACCTGCTTAGCAAGCTTGAAGCCCTGGTTCAGACCCTAATACTGTCAAGTTGTTTTTCACTGATCATAAAATTATGTATTTGTTACAAAAGAATTAGAAAATACAGGAAAGTATAGAAAAGAAAGAATTGCCAACATTTTGTGGTATATCCTTTCAGACTGTTTCTCAGTGTCTTACTTTTGGCGTGTGTATAAATCTGTATTGACAGGATTATGATGATCTTTTTGTTCATAAAAAAAGAGTATATTTATTTTTATTTAATGAATACAATGGACTAGTTAGATTAATTTATAAATTATTTTTCCTTTATTAGTTATTCTTGAAAGAATTTTTTTTGCCAGTCCTGGGGCTTTAACTCTGGGCCTTGGCTCTGTCCCTGAGCTTCTTTCTACTCAAGTAGTAGAGCTAGTGCTCTACCACTTAAGCCACAGCGCCATTTTGGTGTTTTCTGAGTAGTTTATTGGAGATAAGTCTCATGGACTTTCCTGCCTGGGCTGGCATTGAACCAGGATCCTCCTGAGTAGTTAGGATTACAAGTGTGAGCCACCAGCATCTGGTATGAACTTGCCCTTTTTATAGCTTTGCCTGAATCTAGAGTTTTGTTGTCTAAATTTAATCTGCTTGGAGGAAAATGAAAATATTTGCCTTGTCTTAAGAGTTCAAACTACCTATATACTTAAAGTCAAGCTATTAGAATTGGTACAAAATCAAGCTGTTATTCATATATTCCAAGTCTTATTTCCTGAATTATCAAATACTAAGTGGGATGTAACAATTTAGCCAGTGCTTAGGTGAGATGTGAGGCATAGTGCCATGTAGGGCTTCTTTTATATATATAATAACCCTGATCTGAGCTTGCTCTGCTTTGTGTGAACAGAAGTGTAGTCTTGTATTGCAGTCAATTTGTAACTTACACTAATCATCCTGCTCTTTTATATTAACATAGAAAAAAAAACCCAGACCTCCTAAACAGATGGTCTTGGCCTACTTTCTGTTAGTAATTTATAAAGAAAAAGGTTTAGTTTGGCTCTCAGTTCCAGAAGTCAGGAAGTATAAAACTAGGCATCCACATGTGGTGAGGGTGCACAGTGGAGGGAGAAGCTGTAGCATGTGACAAAGTATGTAGGTAAGAGTGAGGAAAGATGCCAAGTATGCTTTAAAACAATACCTTGAGGGATTCATTCAGCCAGAGCACCTGTGAGATACTCTTAATCCACACATGAGGACAGAGCCCTCTAGCCTCACCACCTCTAAAAGGCCCTGCCTCCCAAGACCACTCCATTGAGAGTGAGATTTCAGCATGAGTTTGCTTGTGGACAAACAATATACAAGCTATTGCTGAGACAGATAGTTTAGTGTATGCCCACGGCAGACTATCAGCTAAGCCACCAGCAGAAGATAGTACTAGAGGCATCTGTAGCCTAAAGGACATTAGGAACACTTTAGCATAGACCTATCATATAGGGTAAAATGTATATTACAAATCCTTATGTAATGCCAGATGACTAATCTCATTTCCTTGGACCTCTCTGCATGGCACAGTGTTGGATGAAATTGTGATGGTGGATAGTTTCAGCCTTGTACCAAATTCATCATTAAGTATGTTTGTGGTAGGCATTTGGTACATGCTGTTTATTATCTTATCCACATATTTTGCTGTTGAGTGTCTTGTTTTTAAATAAGAGAATTGAATTCTTTTCTTCTTCACTTCTTGGTCTTTGGTGAAAATCAAATGTGATTTTTTTTCCACATTTACTGACATGATGTTATTTTGTTATATCACGATATAGTTTTTCTCTTTCAATTTGTTATTGAGGTGAATTACAACAGATTTTCTAAGGCAAGCCAGTGTTAACTCATCCTGGCATTCCTGGTGTGAATCTTAATTCTTCAGTCATTTCATTTGACATTTTTAAACCCAGGACTGTCATACATAGTCATTGCAGGCATCAGTCAGAGTGACTTTTATTATCCCCAGTTTTCCTGTCTCAGGGTAAGTCTTCAGGGGTCCCTCTGCTGGTCCTTCCTGTAACTTTTAGTCTCAGCTCCAGGGACACTTTTTCAGAGATGCTTTGAGTCCTGTGGGGTCACTGTCTCACAGACCCAAGTTCTCTCAATAAATTACATCACCCTACATCAGTGAGGATCATTGTGAAAGCCCCCCTGGTTTCCTTGGCAGGTGGTAGTGAATCTGATAGGGAAAACTTTGTGCCTTTGGAAACATTTTTCCTGCCTGGAGGAGACTGGGCTACATGCCAGTTGGATAAGGTTATTTAAGCAAAGATTTGGAAATTTCAGTTATTTTCAACTCCCAAAATTTACCCATTTCTGGCTACAAAGTGTCCTCTCTCTGTTGAGACTGCCCTGGGAGGAAGGCATATGGAAACTTTCATAAGCAAACCTTGTTTACTGGCTTCCCTTGTACAAGGCAAGAGGAGGTAGAAGTCAACAGGAATCTTGGAGGTGGCAGTTTGGGAAAAGGCCTACCAATCCTTCTCTAGCCAGCCTGGGATGTTGTATTCATGGACTTGGGGGATCTGCCATAGCCCTAACAAGGCTGTGTATCAGAAGCTGATGCTCACTAAGATTAAACTACACTGCCAGAATGCCTTGTGCATTCAGGACCTGGGTGCTGTTGCTGAGCTTTTTTGCTCAAAGCTAGCACTCTACCACTTGAGCCACATCTCCTCTTCTGGCTTTTTTTTTTTTTTTTTTTTCTGGTGATTCATTGAAGAGTCATGACTTGCCTCGGCTGGCTTTGAACCACAATTCTCAAATCTCAGCTTCCTGCATAGCTAAGATTACAGATGGGAGCCATTGGTACCTGGTTTCGTGACACACATTTTTATTACAAAATGTAAAGTCACTTAAGCTATAATTCCAAGTTTATTTCCTCTTATGTAAAGTTTCAGCATTGTAGTTTCTTACACGCACCTGATAAATATTTATCAGATGAATAAATGAATGAGTGTAAATCAGAATTCTGCAACAGAATTAGGAGAGAGGCTATAATAATTTTTCTCAGTATATTAAAAGCATAGCTAACATTTTAGTCATTACGTGTCATAGGTACTGTTTAGATAGATTAAGGAAGATTCCACCTTCTCCAAGAGATTACTTAATTTTTTTATTCTGTAAGAGCATTAGCTAGGGGTTAAGTACTAGATGGAATAACATTCTTCTTCTGGAGAATGTTGATTTTTTTTAATTGGATCATGGTTATAAGCACTTCTTAATGTTTTTAATCATCCTTTTAAATGATTAAACCTGTTTCACGTTGGTGAGAGTAAGCACAATTGCTTGATTGACAATTTTCAAATCCTTTCCTCCTAGAGACTCCCTCAATCCCCACACCAGCCTCCTTCACAGTAATGACTGCCCTGGAACTGCCCCCCAGGTTGAGCAGAAACTAGGGCGAGACCAGGGACCATTATTGTTGGCCACCATGTCCAGCTGTGCTGCCTCTTCTCTTCTAAAGTCCCCTCACAGGCAGCAAGCAATTGCAGTCTTAGCTTCTTCTCTATGGAAACCAGAAGACCTGTCAAGCAGCCACTTTTTCAGAGATCTGGTGGACTGTATCATAATAACTAGGGCTGCTTTAAATATCTCAATGCGGTCTTTCATCATTCTCTGCCATTGTAGATTATTTGTATTGGTCCTCAACATGATTTTGTTGAATGGACAATATAATCACCAAGTTCACTAAAAATCCAGGCAAAGTGACAAAATTAGTGATGAAAAGCACTTTCCTAGCCTATGTGAAGCCTTGAGAGAATACCCAACACCACAAAGCAAAATATAAGTAAAGGATAAGTATCTTATATAAGAAACAATTAGAGAGTTTATTTTACAAACCAGATTTCTCCCTATTGGCAACATCACCTACCCACTTCCCTTGCTGTTTTGTATATATTTTTAATGATACTGGAATTTATTATAATGACCTATGTTTGCTGAGGTCTCTGTGGTATTGGTGTGTGACTATTTGGATGAAAATACGAACAAAGGTTTGTTATACTTAGCTAAAGAGAGCTGGATAGATGCACCTTACAGAGATATTCACTGTAGTCAAATAATCCAATGGTAAAACCATCATGGCCAAGAAGGTAGGTGTGTGTGTGTGTGTGTGTGTGTGTGTGTGTGTGTGTGTGTTTGTGTATGCACGCATGCACAAACGTGGCATCACAGTGCTCTGAAACACACTGTTCTGTAATAGCTGCTGAACGCACCCAACTAAAGTGTCTGTCTAGGATTCATTCTTGCCAAGAAGTCATGACATCCCATATCTACTCCATCAGGAAAATGAAGGCCCAGGTCTTCCCTTTATGAACAGGGTACCAGAGAGCATTCTCAGTTGGGAACTCCTGAGGCATTAGCTCTGTTCTTCATGTAAGAACCTCACAGTTTTGTCTCTCTCAGATTCTACTTCCTTGACTCTCCCACTATGAGGATTCCGAGAACACTTCTCATCAAATCTCCTGCACACATTTATTTCCAAGTCTTTCTTGTAGCACCTAGCCAGTGATAGTATTTTTCCCCAAGTTCAGTCAGTGTTTGATAAGCTGGATGAAAGTGGTGACACTTGCTTAGATTCTAGCTGGGTTTGATTGGCAGATCACAGAACAGCTTCTGTGGCCAGCTGCTTTTGGTAATTGCCTCAGTCAGGTGGGCTCTCATTGCCCGCTCTGGGATGCTCAGGTATCCTGGAATATTGGTTTGGATCTGTCTGTAATGCAGTTTCAATGGCTCCATTTGATTTTTAAAGATGTGTGATGCCTACAGTGATTTCTCTTTTCATGAGAGATATTGAAAACTATGTTGCTGGATGTCAGTGTTAATGTACAGAAAAGCTGAATTCAAAAGTTTGCCTTGGCTGCCAGTAGAGATGTTCATGACACAAAAAGGCAGCCTAGAACTCTATTAATGATAATGGAAGTATAGGGGTTTGGTCCCAGCTGTTTCTTTAAAAAATAGTTTTATTATCTTTAAGTAATTGTACAAAGGAGTTGCCATTCAGCAAAGCAGTTTATGAACACAGTGTGTCTTGATCTATGTCACCTCTTTCAATATTTTCACCCATCCCTCCCAACCCACCCCTTCCCTCACTTTTCCTCATTTTGTAGGATATATATTGAATTTTTTGCCATTTAACAAAGCAGCTTATGGATACTAACAAAGCAGTTTATGAATACAATGTATCTTGATTAGCTATTTCTTTTCAAGTGATTTAATCTGCCCCCCCAACCATTAGTCCCTCATTCTAGTCTGTAAATTTATTTTGAACCCACAGCAATCCCAAAAAGTCATATACACAGTACTGGACTCCAAGTGATATGCCTCTGGCTGAAGATTCCAGGACATGGAGTTAGCCAACCAGCTCTGCAGAAAGCCACATGTGGGACTCAAAGCCTTCTGTTGCTGCTTTGAGACACCAGCCTTCTAGTAACTAAAGTGCAGCAACTCTTGCTCCTTAAAATCATCATCTATTTCATGGAAAGTAGCTATTATTGGGATGTAGGACTTATGGCCTTTTCCACAAATTATGATTTTCTTGATCAAATAGACTTATTTATATTATTCTGTCTTATATACACATAAGACATAAGCCATTTTGGGAGAAAGAATGGCTTCTATTAAGGGCTTACTCTGTTCTAGGAACTGTGATAAACTCTGTAAGTAAAATTATTTTATTGAGTTGCCCTTATTGTTCAGATGAAGAAACTGAGATAGGGATATTAAAAGAATAGAAGGCTTGATTTGGTGGAATTGAGATTTAAACCCTTGCTTTTTGGCTCTAGAATTTGCAACCTGAGCCATTTTCATCATTCGGCACCTTTCAAACTGTTCTGATCACAGCCTACAGTGATTATTTTAGGATGCAATCCAGAGACACACACACACTTCTGTAGTTGAAATACTAGTTTCACACAGCAGTGCTAACCCTTAACACAGGCAGTGCTGCCGCTGTATCATATTTGTTCCCTTCTTCCCTCCTTATTTCCCTCTGTCCCTCCCATCCATCCCTCTTCCTTCCTCTCCCTCTACCGTTCCCTTTCCCTACCATCCATCCCAACTGCCTGAGTGAAAAAGACTTTAGTGATAGTTCATTCATCCATCTTTATTTAGTGCCTCCTCTGTGTCTGACACTGCAGGTGCAGAGAATACAGTAATGAATGAAGCAGACAAGGTCCCTTTTCCCATAGAGTTTATAGCCAGAAGGATTTGCACGTGAAATGCAATTGATCAAAACAAAAAACCCAACTGTATAGTATAGCACCACCACTAAAAAAAATCTAGCAAGAAATCTATTGTATATTAAGCTTTGATTTTCTAAGATACTTTAAATGCTGAGTATTAAAGGACAAGAACAATAATACTCACTGTATGATTTTTCATAATATATTCATACTTGAATACTAATATACAGCAATTACAGGAACAACCTCATGCAGTATTATCTACTGGATGCATCCCACCACAGTTAACAAGTTACGTGAGCATAATAAGCATTGTACAGTACAGGACAAAAGCATATTGTGTATTATGCTTTACAGTTTATTACAGTATTCTGGGAAGCCATAATACAATATGTCATTTGTGTAAAATTTTAAATATTCCAAACAGTACTGTGTTATCATGACCACACATCAATTTTAATATGTTTGTCACTCTCAGAAGAGGGATGGAAGATTGAAGTGTAACAAATCTTGTTGAATTAAGATTTAGCAGGCTGAGCCAGCGCCAGTGGCTCATACCTGTAATCCTAGCTACTGAGGAGGCTGAGATCTGTGGATCACGGTTCAAAGCCAGCCCGGGCATGAAAGTCCGTGAGACTCATATCTCCAAAAAAACCACTAGAAAACTGGAAGTGGTGCTGTGGCTCAGGTGGTAGAGTGCTCGCCTTGAACTGAAGAGCTAAGGGACAACGCCCAAGCCCAGAGTTCAAGCCCCACGACCGACAAAAAAAAAAAAAAGATTTAGCAGGCTGCGTGCCAGTGGCTCACACCTGTAATCCTAGATATTCAGGAGTCTGAGATCTGAGGATTGCAGTTTGAAGCCAGCCAGGGCAGAAAAGTCCTAGTGACTCATCTCCAATTAACAACTCAGAAACCAGAAGTACTGCTGTGGCTCAAGTGGTAGAGCGCTATCCTTGAGCACAAAGAGGATCAGGGACAGGCCCTGAGTTCAAGCCCCACAACTGGCCAAAAAAAAAAAAAGAGTTAGCAAATACAACAAAAGTTAACTATGGTTAAGTATGGGTAGGTACATGGTATGGGTAGGTACATGGTTTTCTTGTTACTTGGAGTGTGTGTGTCATTTACAAGTGTATAATTGAAGTGCAACATGGAAATAACTGTGTTATGCTACTTCTCTGTGTAGGATGCATGCGTATTTCCGTATAGTATGCTTTCTGACACACTTGTATTTTATTCATCCAAAGAAACACTAACCACAAAGGTCATCTTTGAGGAGATGGGATATGCATGTCAGCTTGGCTTCATAGACTGTATATTGCCAGCAGAGGGCGCTGCTCCACAATGAATTGAGCTACAGCTACCACAGGAGGTCACTCTCCTGTCAGTGTGATTCTAGAGCCTCCTAAGAAACTCTCTTCTGCTCCAGGATTTGGGAAGAAGGGTATTTAAATATAAGGGGCACAGAATCCATTCATTTGGACAATTGTGTTTCTCTGAACATTCCTACTTTGTGAGTGAGCCTTGTTGCTGATCTGTGAAGAAATTTTGTTGTTGTTAAACTGACCTGACAAGCCGGGTGCCAGTGGCTCACACCTGTAATCCTAGCTACTCAGGAGGCTAAGATCTGAGGATCAGGGTTCAAAGCCAGCCTGGGCAGGAAAGTCCATGAAACTCTTATCTCCAATAAACCACCAGAAAACCAGAAGTGGCACTGTAGCTCAAGTGGTAGAGTGCTAACCTTGAGCTGAAGAGCTGAGGGACAGCGCTCAGGCCCAGAGTTCAAGCCCCATGACCGACAAAAAAAAACAAAAACTGACCTGACAATGTTCCTTTTTTCCTAGATGGAAAAGGATTATTCTTACCTGAAGGAGATCTGTGATCATCAAGCGGAACAGTTGAGCAGAACCAGCCTGAAACTGCAAGAGAAAGCATCAGAGAGTGATGCAGAGATCAAAGACATGAAAGAAACCATATTTGAATTGGAAGATCAGGTGGAACAGCACCGGGCCGTGAAGCTACACAATAATCAACTCATTAGTGAGCTAGAAAGTAAGTGAAGTTACATGCAGGTGAAGTATGCAACTGGTGTTACTTCAATGATAAAGAAATGTAGAAATAAGTAACATGGAAAAGTTTGTAAGGATATGTGTTGGCTAGGATATATGATGTCACTCCTTTGAGTGTTCCCAAGAAGAATTAAACTTGTCAAGTGCTAGCAGTTCATATTCATAATCCTTCTACTCAGGAGACTCAGATCTGAAAATTGAGGTTCAAAGCCTAGGCAGGAAAGTGTGAGAATTCTATCTCCAATCAACCATCAAAAAGCCAAAGTGGGAGTGTGGCTTAAGTGGTAGAGTGCTAACCCTGGGGGTGGGGGGAAGTAAAAAAGGAGGGACTGGGAGAGAGTGAGGAAATAAAAAAAAAAAAAAAAAGCAAGAATGTGAGGCTCAGTGTTCAAACCTTAGTACCAGCACTTTAAAGAAAATTCAGTAATAAGCTGGGCGCTGGTGGCTCACGCCTATAATCCTAGCTACTCAGGAGGCTGAGATCTGTGGATCGAGGTTCTAAGGTAGCCCGGGCAGGAAAGTCTGTGAAACTCTTATCTCCAATAAACCACCAGAAAACCAGAAGTGACGTTGTGGTGTAGAGTGCTAGCCTTGAGCTGAAGAGGGACAGTGCCCAGGCCCAGAGCTCAAGCCCTATGACTGACAAAAATAAATAAAAATTGAAAAAAGAAAATTCAGTAATCCCTAGCTGGGATTGGTGGCTCATGACTATAATACTAGCTATTCAGGAGGCTGAAATTGGAAGGTCTGTGGTGTGAGGCCAGCCCAGACAAAAAATGGTGAGATCCTATATCAATCAATAAGAATCTGTTATCTTACCTGTGTGAGAAGCATAAATAGGAGGCTTGAGGTCCAGTTCAGGCCAGACAAAAAGGAAGACCCTATCTGACAAATAGCTAAAGCAAAAAAGGCTAAGGGCATGGTCCAAATAATGGAAAACCTGCCTAGCAAGTATGACTTGAACTCATTCAAGTCATAGTACCACTGAAAAAGAAAACAAAAGAATCAGTCATCTCTTAAAAAGGTCAAGGCATTAGTGACTGAAAAAGAGACAAAGCTGTATTTAGTTGTGTTGAGTTTACCTTGTGTGACAGAGCCACTCAACCGTCTCTATCCCAGTGACCAACTCCACTTTGTGTTCAGCTGTGACTTGAGCTTTCCTAAGGGTTTGAGGGGTTATTGTTTCCTGCAGTTGTGGAGTATTGACAGTGTGTTGTCTTGAATCTGATGGATTGAGGGTTGAGTGATAGATGTTCAGAGTGAAACAAACAGTATGGATCCATAATCTAAGGGAGCAAACAATCCAGCATGTGTCCTAGTAGTGGTAAGATATCAAATAACCTGAATGTGTTGGCCATTTTATTCCTGAAGAGGCATCAATATATGCTTAGGAGCTCATTTGCTTTGAATGGGGAAAGAATTTTGTTATTATTATTAAACATTGCCTGCACTTATCCTTATCAAATTATCACATCTAATGCTTTTGCAACTTATGATTAATACATGAAGATTTAAATAGTGATAACTAGTACTAAAAATAGTTTAATTACCTGAGAAGTTCTCTGACATGTACAGTTGATCTTCATTACTAATAATTCTGTATTCATGAATTTATCTACTCACTAAAATTTGTTACCTAGAAATCAGTACTGACAGTGTCTTCCTGGTTATTTTCAGACATGTACAGAAAGGTTGAAAAGTTAATCATCCATCACTTAATGTTCCCACACAGAACTAGGCCAAGAGAGCTCTGTGGTCTTGTCTCAGTTCTGATACAGTGTTCATGTGCCCTTTTGTGGCCCATTTGGTGCCATGACTCTGGCAGTTGTTTTTGCTTGTTTTTGAAATGGCCTCAAGCACAGTATTGAGTGCTGTCTATTGTCCCCAAGTCCAAGAAAGCCTGTGATATGCCATTGGAGAAATGCATGTGTTCAGTAAGCTTAGTTTAGGCCTGAGCGCTTGTGCTGTTGGGCATGACTTCAACAATTCAGAGCATCTAGATAGAGGAAGAGAAAATTTGCCAATCTGAGCACAAAGCTTCTCTGGAAAATGCTAATGTCTTTCATATATGGTGAGCTTGGAAAAGAGTGTTTGTGGATTCATGAGATGAAGACCAAAACAAAAACAAGTGTAGGGACAGCAGTTGTAGCAATGCCCCAACCAAAGAAATTCACACTCACTTTGCTTAGGGTAGGGAAACTGTTTTATCCATTAGCATTGCAAGCCCATAAGGCATGGAAGAGGAAACACTTAAGGCACAGAAAAGTTCTTCAGACCAGGATGCTACAGGAAAAAAATGTTTAAAAAACATACCTGTTCAAGCCAGGTGCTGATCGCTCACACCTGTACTCCTAGCTACTCGGAGGCTGAGGATTGCAGTTCAAAGCCAGTCCAGGTAGAAAAATTCATGAGACTCTTTTATCTTCAATTAACTACCCAAAAGGCTGAAGTAGAGCTGTAGCTCAAATGGTAGAGTGCTAGCCTTGAGCCCCAGGCCCTTAGTCAAGTCCTAGGACTGGCGCACACACACACACACACACACACACACACACACACACACACTCACACACACACACACACACACACACACACACACACACACACCCGTGCTCAATACTGCAATGAAAAGGGAGGAGTGGGCTTCTGACACTAATATGACTAGTTTGTTTTACAAAGGCATTAGCAAACAAACCTATATAACACAAATGACATTTCAGTTCATGAAAAATGTGACCAGAGGCTCTTTGGAACCTGACTCTGTATTTCTTCTGGGAGCCACAGCACAGTGTTTGCTAGCTGAGTGAGCTTGGGGATTTTAAGTAACTTCCATGAGTAGTGAGAAGTGACAGTGTACTGTGTCTGGATGAATCATGTAGTATCATGTCACATTCTTCATCAGACATAACAACATGCAGTGAAGCTGTGCTTAGAACCACCCAGACTCAGTAGTTGCGCCTGAGGACCTAATTCAGACCTTCCTCCTCTGTAATGCCAGACATAGCCCCACTTTTGAAAAGAATCAGGTCAGAGGAGAGTCCTGTCTGTTTTATTTGTGTTTTTGTGATATATTACTGTTGAGAATATGGTTGAATTGTCCCTAAATCCTTAGAAGTCAGCCCAGACACACACACCACTACCACCACCAACAACAATGAAAACCAACCCAGAACACATTTCAAGTCTACCTCCAGTGGTTATATTTATAATATAATCAAGATAGAAAATAACACAATCTTCTGAGAGGCCTTAAACTTCTCTTAGGAATATGAAGGTATTTTTTTTTTTTTTTGGGGGTCCGGTCGCGGGGCCTGAACTCTGGGCCTGGGCACTGTCCCTCAGCTCTTCAGCTCAAGGCTAGCACTCTACAACTTGAGCCACAGCGCCACTTCCGGCTTTTTTCTTTTTGCTTATGTGGTGCTGAGGAATTGAACCCAGGGCCTCATGCATGCAAGGCAAGCGCTCTACCACTGAGCTACCTTCCCAGCCCATGAAGGTATTATTAAGCTATATTTGTGTCAGGAGAACCAGGGACACTCAACTTCGGTTAGACTAGTCATTCTTTCCATGATTTCCTTCAGAGCAACAGAACAATAAAAAATGAAGGAAGGTTCTGCAATTCTCATCCCAAACACAACTTCTCTGCCCCACGTGCTGATTCACAAGTGCTAGAGTAGGATGTGACCAGAGGGATTCTTTTAAACCTTCTCTTGTGATTCTGACTCACATCCAAAATAGATAGCTACTGTTCTTGATCAGAGAATTGTAACCAAGCAGCTTATGTGAGGAGTTTTATGTTTAAATGGCTCTGGTAGTAATGTGGAGAGAATTGGAAGCAGAGGGAAGGACAGAGACAGCGGGAATTTTTCTTAATTAGAGAGACATAGTCAGGCCACCTGTGGAGCTGTCAGTAAACATAGGCTCACATTCTGGCTGCCCTTGGAGATTCTGAGCTAGTGGGTCTAGAGCTCGGGCCAGGCACATCTGTGCCTTTGAAATGTGCCACAAGATTCTGAGTTGCTTGTGAGTAGGAACTACAATCCTAGAGGCAGACTTTACAGTTGTAAGAGCTTAGACCCTCCTAGCAGTAAAAGCCACTCAGGATGCTTGTGTGTAAATAGCCAGGAACTCAGGGTAAATGTGAATGGCTATTAAGGTTTCCTCCATAGTGCTGCATGGTGGTACAACTTGTTTCCTGAGTATAGAACCTAAGTAAGCACCACTTAACTTCCCACATCTTCCTGTTCCCTGCTTAGACATATCTCACTTCCAGTTCCTCCTTTGCAGGTATTCAGAACGGAGTTTAGCATAGACGTTCAGCACAGGTTTGCAAGCCTGTGATGGCTTCCATTGCCACACAGCTTCCCATCTTTCAGGTATCTTGCAGTGTTCCAAATCCTGTCTGAATCATTTATTTCTAGGCAATGTGATCAAACTGGAGGAGCAGAAGTCAGACCTAGAACGGCAGCTCAAGACCCTGACAAAGCAGATAAAGGTGAGTGTGGATTACAGCCAGGGAGGGAGCCTCCTCTGTCAAGTCACTGAACATTACTCCTGTCATAGTGTGGAGGCACTGGGAAAGTACACCAGTACTCTGTCCAGCCACTTTCTGTAGCCTGGCTCTGAAATGCACATTCTTTCTAATGGCAGAAAGTAAAAGGAAAGCAATTCTAGTTTTAAGATGGAGAACTTTGTGATGTAAAACTGGAGTTCCCTTGCGTCTCTGTCTCCTCTGAGACACTATTAACGCAGGGCCTTATTGCTGGCTATTTTTTTCTTAGTGTCTGATGTGGGGGTTGGAGAGCCCCTGCCTAGCTGCCAGCTCTGCATACCTGTCCTGTGTCTGAAGCATCTGTGGACTCACATTTGCAGGAGGAGACGGAGGAGTGGAGGCGGTTCCAGGCAGACCTGCAGACTGCAGTAGTGGTGGCCAATGACATAAAGTGTGAAGCCCAGCAGGAGCTTCGCACGGTGAAAAGGAGGCTGCTAGAGGAAGAGGAGAAGAATGCCAGGCTGCAGAAGGAGCTGGGGGACATTCAGGGACACAGCAGGTGGGTCCCAGGCAGAACCATACCTCTGTGTGAGTTTGACATGCACTTGGACAGCGCTTAGCTTCTCACTTAATCTCTGTGCTTGGGGCTGTGTTGTGGAGAAATGGGATGCTTTCATTTATGTTGCTTTGTGCCAGGTTTATTATTTCTTTTACAGGTTCAGTTTACTACTACCCACTGTCCCTATACTGCTAGAATGTTCCATCCAGGGCTCAGTCACTGCCATGCTTTAGCTTCAGATGTTGAAAATATCTTTTCCTCGCTTGTATGTGAAGAAAAAGTTCCAGACAAACATAGAAAAGAATGGATGTGATGTCTGGGATATCCATTAGATTTTAGTATTTTATTAGTGTAGGGGTGCACATGTCATAAATACTCACTTGCGTAGGTTTGCTGGAGAGGGTGAAGCTGGAATCTCTCAAGGGAAACTGCCACCAGATTAAGGCCGAGGCGGACTTTTGCCTGACTGGCAATCCCTACAGGATATTTAAAAAGGCCTTGACATAATCTACTTTATTCAAAAGAATAAATATACAAAACAAGGGCACCCTCCATGCCTGACTTGCCTTTCTGGTCTTAGGATAGGATGGGTGGGAGACCACATAAATTATTAGCCCAAAGGTTATGTTGAGCAGCAATGTATAAGAGCAATGTGTCTAAGACAAAAATGTCCCAAAGAGCTCAACGTTACTTAAAATTCAAATGAGTTTTATAGACAAGATTGTAAACAGTATTTTAGGCTTTTATTTAGCACTGTTATTTCCCCTCACTCCCCTGGCCTCAGTCAATTGTCTTAATGTTGAGATTCTGGAAATATGAAATGAAGTCTTTTAAAATCAGATTCAACAGGATCTGAATGTTGTTCTGTATACTTCGTCCTAATCTTTCTGTTTTTCATAATCAGTGGGGTTGCTTACTCACTTGCTTCTGAGCCTTGGGGTCATGAATTTCATGCAATTAGGAAAGACCTCTCAGAATTCCATTTTGATTGTCCCATCAAACTTTCTTCAAGTAATCTCTCTTCCCATTGTTCATGATGCTTTGCATTAAATGGCCTCTGGAGAAAGACTGATGTTGCCAGGCCCACAATTTACTCTTGAAAAGCCAGTCATTATTTCAGGCACACACCTCTCCCCTGTGGCCACCAAAGGATGTGAATGAATTTTAAGCAAAAATAGGCAACTAGGAAAAGGAGATTTCCCTGCTGAGATAGCATCCTCCTCCTTCTAGTTTGTTTTTGTGTCTGCTTGTTTATTTGTCTTGCTTCTATATCATATGTCTTTGGAAGAGGAACCAAGTTTTAACCTTTAAAGTTAAGTAGTTGAAGGCAAGCCCTGAGTTTTGTGCTATCCATAAGAGATTTATTTATTTATTTATTATGAGATTTTGCATCTCTTATATAGATTTTAAGATACTGGCTTAAGTTCTAATGTAATAGGAAATCTCTCTGTGTATCATAACAGTTTAGGGCTCCATATGTTATATTCTACACCTTCAAATTTAAAGTCACTTTTCTCCCCTCAATACAGAATGTTCCTCTTATTTTCTGGCAATTAATAAACCTACTCCTAGCAGTTTAGTCCCTTCTCACAAAACCTTTCAAAACTTCACTGTTGGTACTAGTCAAAACATTAGGCATCAGGTTGTTTCTTGCCTGTCATTGTCCTTGACAGGATATCGGACCATTGCTGGTGATGGTTTCCTGTCTGATTTTGCCCTTCTTTCACAAGCTGCCCCCTCTAAATGTTGACTATATGAAAATTACTCATTGATGGCCCAGCTCGCTCCTGAACCTACATGAGCAAGAATGGAAACCAGCCTACCCCCTCAGACTCCTGCAGCAACCTAGTGCTTCCATCTTGGCTGAATGAGTTCTTGACTGACACTCTATTTGACTTTGACAGTCATCTCATAAGAACTCAAAGGTCATTCTTGGTTCAGCCTCAGCCAAAGAACTTGCAGAACATTCTCTGATGAGGTCCTACAAACACAACTAAGAGAAGGTAAGAGCACCCAAAAAGCACCTTGACCATAACATAGGGTTAACTGATTCGTGTTCTCATTATTGTGTAAGTGCATATATGACTTGTTACCCAGTCTGGCTATTGGCTGGAAAATGAAGAGCCTGGGCATGAACCTAAAGTAGTACCTGTTACTAAATTGAACTCAGTCTTTAAAACAAAGCCCCATATTATTTAACTTATTAATGATCTTCAGTCCCATAGCATTTTCAAAGATTTGATTAATTGATTGACTTTTGTATGTGTGTGTGCTGGTCCTGGGGCTTGAACTTCTTTTTTTTTTTTTTTGGGTCCGGTCGTGGGGCCTGAGCTCTGGGCCTGGGCGCTGTCCCTCAGCTCTTCAGCTCAAGGCTAGCGCTTTTTGAGCTGCTTTTTTTTTTGCCAGTCCTGGGGCTTGAACTCAGGGTGTGGGCACTGTCTCTGAGCCTCTTTGTGCTCAAGGCTAGTGCTCTACCACTTGAGTCACAGAACCACTTCCTGCTTTTTCTGAGTAGTTTATTGGCAGTAAGAGTCTTATAGACTTTCTTGTCTGGGTTGTCTTCAAACTGTGATCTTCAGATCTCAACCTCCTGAGTAGCTGGGATTACAGGCATGAGCCACCAGCACCCAGCTTTTCTGAGCTTTTTTTGCTCAAGGCTAGCATTCTCACACCTGAGCTACAGATCCACTTCTACCTTTTTGTGGTTAATTGCAGATAAGAGTCTGCCTAGGCAGGCTTTGAACCCCACTCAGATCTCAGCTTCCTGAGTAGCTAGAATTGTAGGCATGAGCCACCTGCACCCAACTGATTGACTTTTGAAATATGTCCTCACTCTGTTGCCCACACTGGTCTCAAACTCATGAACTCAAGTAGTCCTTTCACCTCAACCCCTTAAGTAGCTGTGACTATAGGCATGAACCACCACTCTTGGGTGGTATATTTATTTTAGTGTCAGAATAGCTGATATTAAGATGTGTGAGGAATTAATGCTGTGAACTCATTCGTGCCACCAACCAGCAATTTCGCTCCCCAAGCCTGATTCCATCTTGTGTTAAGTGAGGAGCTCTAAGTAGTTAGTGTTCCAAGGTTCTTTTAAGATCTACCATTCTGAGACTGGTTAGCCAGGTCTGCTTTGTCTAGTGTGATAGGTAGATACCCATGTGACTACTACTGCCATCTCTCCAGGAATGTTCTGGTAGACTCAAAGCTAGACACAGTATCTCCAATTCTTAGCTATGGCTCTTGAGTTTTGATATTTCTCTCCTGGAAATTTCAACAGGCTGAAAGTGATGTTTTACTGGACATGTAAATTAAATGGATGAAAGTATCTTGGATAACTTCTCACTCTGACTTCTTCCCATTTTGAACATTTAAAAGAAAGGTGTTAAAATGAATGCTTTCCTTGAAATTAAAACATCAGATCTAGGGCTGGAGATGTAGCTAGCTCAGTGATAGACTGTTTACATAGCATGTGCGAAAACCTGGGTCCAATGCCTATCACCTCAACAAGCAAATAAAAAATAAAATTAAAAAACAGATGCTGGTCACTCACATCTGTAATCGTAGCTACTCTGGAGTCTGAGACTTGGAGGATTGTGGTTCCAAGCAGGAAAATCCCAAGAGATTCTTATCTCCAATTAACCAGCAAAGAGCTAGACTGAAGTGGTAAAACACAATGAGCAAGAAATCTGAGCAAGAGTACCAGGCCTTAGCCAGGTGCTGGTGGCTCACGCCTGTAATCCTAGCTATTCAGGAAGCTGAGATCTGAGGATCACAGTTCAAAGCCAGCCTGCGCAGGAAAATCCGTGAAACTCTTATCTCCAATAAACCACTAGAAAATGGGAAGTGGTGCTGTGGCTCAAGTGGTAGAGCCCTCGCCTTGAGCTGAAGAGCACAGGTTCAGTGCCCAAGCCCAGAGTTCAAGCCCCATGACTGACAAAAAAAAAAAAAAAAAAGCAGAATACCAAGCCTTCAGTTCAAGCCTTGGCATTGAAACATTCTCTCTCTCTCTCTCTCTCTCTCTCTCTCTCTCTCTCCCCCCCCTCCCTCTCTTCCTCTCCCTCTCTCCCTCTCTCTCTCTCCCAAAAAAATCTACAACAAAAAAACCTCAGATCCTTTTCCTGCAAAATTGAGTCCTAGGAGCCTAATAGATACAGAGAACACAGGCAGCCCAACATCAGAATTTCATGGCCACAAACAACCCTATTGATTGAAAGATGAAGATATTGCCAAGCAGCATATGATACAGGCTTTGTGATCAGTGGCAGGGAATGACCTATGTGTTAGGTTCTCTTGTTCCAAACAGAAAACCTCTTACTTCTAGAGTGACTTGCCCTGCTCTTACTGTGTTTATCATATAATGCCAACAAGCATCCACAAAAACATTGTAAAAGGAACAACATCATTGAAGGCACTGAGTATTTGTTCCTAAGTAACAGCATTTGCTTCCAAGATAGAATGTTTCAGATTCACATTTGTTCAGCCTGTACCACTCCCCACCCCCACTGGCTCATTCAGGTACTGTCTCTGCTGCTGTGGTGAGCAGCATTGTGGTCTATCATGCACAGACTCTGCTGGAACTGTCTTTTAACTCACGTGTGCACATTTCACATTATGCGCTACCGTCCGTCATGTGTGTGCCACCCTCTGCCTCATATTTAGAGCTCTAACATCCCACAGCTGCTCAGCAAGTGTCTTGTAGCTGCTGCTGAAGGGGAAGTGTGCAAATTGGAAATAGAGATTCTTGGGTCACTATGGTATTCTTTTGATGCTGAAACCCTGGCACTTGGGAAGGAACCTGGGGATTTCCTGGAGATTCTTCAGTGGTTTCTTAGGCCTTTACCTTAGCTCCTATGTCTCTCAGGACTATTGATATTTCATTTGGTCCTAAATGGAGAATTGGTTATCTCCTATTTACTTCAGCAGGTATAATCCGTTCAATGACAAGGCTACTTATTTTTTCAATTTAAATATATGGTTATGACATTGTATAGTCTAAT